AGTCTTGCAGACTTGAGCCAGGCAGGGTTCCAGAAAGCCAGGCCAGGCAGACTACAGCAGGATCGAATTCCCCACAGGGATACCCTAAGTAGGCTGTACAGCAACTGTGAAGAGGAGACCAGAGGTACAATGGAGATGCCAGAAACGTGTTAAGTTCCACAAGGAAAACAGAAGGCATCAAGTGAGGTAGGCCCAATGGAAAGACCACATGGCACCTATGCAACCTATCTGAAAGATGGTGCTACCCAAGTCCACTGGGGAACTGAAGATGCTGTCACAGCCCCAGACACGAGACACAGAGCTTCAGGGTCTGGTGTCTGCCCTGACAAGTTTCAGTCTTCCTTTGGTCTGATCGTTTTTGTTATGCATCCATTTATCCTTTAGGAATAATGCTTATTCCATTATACATTACAAGTAGGAACCTTGCTTTTTGATTTTACAAGTGGTTCCCAATTAAGACTTCCTTGGCCTTAGATGAGACTTTGAACTTTTTGTTTGTTTGGTTTTGGTTTTGGTTTTCAAGACAAGGATTCTCTGTGTAGCCCTGGCTGTCCTGGAACTCAATCTATAGACCAGGCTGGCCTTGAACTCAGAGATCTACCTGCTTCTGCCCTCTGAGTGCAGGGAGTAAAGGCGTGTGCTGAGACTTTGAACTTTTGAACAGTGTTGAGACTGTAAATTTATAGAGACTCGATGAAAAACTTAGCTAGAGTTATTCAAAGGAAGCTAATGTCCTCTATGTAGTAAAGAATTAACCTATTCACAACTATTCTAAAGGAACAAATGGAAACAAGTCCTAGTTATTGTAACAAAAACAGAATGAGGAACCAGCAAGATGATTTAGCAGGTAAAAGGGCTTGCTGCCAAACCTGACACCCTGAATTCAATACCTGGGACCCACATGGCAGAAGAGGAGAACCGACTTCCACAGATTGTCTCTGACCTCCACAGATGCACCACAGCATGTACCTGCCCACCCACACACTCAATAAATACATAAATAAATGTCATTAAACAGAAACAAACCTTACAATCCCCCCTTAGGTGTGGTGACTCATCACTTGGGAGGCAGAAATAGGCAAACCTTTTTGAGTTCAAGGCCAGTCTGGTCTATGGAGGGAGTTCCAGGTCAGCCAGGGCTATATAGTAAGTTCCTGTCTCAAACAAACAAACAAACAAACAAACAAACCACAACAAAACACACACACACACACACACACACACACACACACACACACACAAAACCAAACAAAACAAAAAACCCCACCACCAGGAAGCAGGCATATCCAGAAAGGGATTGTGAACAATGCTAGTTCTCAACATGTGAGCCTGTGGGAGATACTTCATATTCAAACCATAACACCAACTACGTGGCTGGAAAAGGACAGCTACGGAGACAATACAAAGTTCAGCCAGTTGTGGTGGTCCACACAAGCAGATAGGCTGAAGAGGCAGAAGCAGAGGTGGAAGGACCACAAGTTCCAGGCCAGCCTGGGCTATAGCTTTGGGTTGGTAAGATGGCTGGCTCACAGTAGCAGTTCTCAATCTGTGGGTCGCAACTGTTTTGGGGGTCACAACTGTTTTGGGGTCGAACGGCCCTTTCTCAGGGTTTGCCTAAGGCCATCAGAAAACACAGATATTTACGTTAGGCTTCATAACAGTAACAAAATTACAGTTATGAAGCAGCAATGAAAATAATTTGACAGCGGGGGGTCACCCCAACATGAGGAACTGTATTAAAGGGTCACAGCATTACGAATATTGAGAACCACTGGCTCAGAGGGTGAGAGAATTCGCCACCAAGCTTGAGGGCAAAAGTCTGACCCACGGGGACCCACAGGTAGAAGGAGAGAATCACCTTCTACAAGTTATCCTCTGACCTCCACACATGGTCACACATACAAACAATAAATAGTATTTTTAAAAAAGAAAAGAAGTTACAATTTCACTGGGCCCTCTATGTATGTAGGTATGTGCTTAATTAAATGAAACACAATAATGAGTTCTGTGCCCAGAGAATCCAATTTTGAAAAACCAAGTATTTTAGAGAATTTCTAAGACAGAGAACCATAAAGACCATATCCAATAAACTGAAAAACAAAAGAGTTATGCTTAAGGTGTTGCTCTATAATACAGCAGTTATCTAACATGCCTAAAAACCTAGATTCAATACCCAGCACTGAAAAAATAATAATAAACAGAATTAACAAATTTTGTATACAATTATTTTCATGAGTGCTATAAGTTTGAGCTTTTGAGGTTCCTTAAAACACTGAACGTGCTTTAAAATTCAAGATAACATAAGGAACCCTAAGTATACCTAGCGATTATGTAGCTAATAGCAATTGCTGAAGAATGCTTCAGCCTGGGCTTAAAACAATACAATCCTATCCTTGAACATTCTCATGAGTTTTTGTGCTAATGGAAGACTCAATTACATTTCTTTTTTTAAAAGATTTATTTATTTATTTATTTATTTATTTATTTATTTATTTATTTATTATGTATACAGTGTTCTGTTGCAGGCCAGAAGAGGGCACCAGTGTGGTCATATATTGTGTACCCTAATAAAATTTGACTTAAGATCAGAGAACAGAACAAGCCACTAGATTAAACATAGAGGTCAGGCAGTGGTGGCACACACCTTTAATCCTAGCACTCGGGAGGCAGAGATCCATGTGGATCTCTGTGAGTTCAAAGCCACCCTGGACTACATGAGATTGACTCAGTCTAGGAGAGAAACAGAGCCAGGCAGTGGTGGCACACGCCTTTAATCCCAATACTTGGGAGTCACACGCCTTTAACCCCAGCACTACAAATGTGATATGGTGGGTGGAGAAAGGTATATAAGGCCTGAGGAGACAGGAACTAGGGCTTTTTGGCAGAAGCGTCCCTTTCAGCTGAAGCCCTTTCGGCCGGAGCTCTTTCTAGCTGAGGAGCTGGTGAGGTAAGAGGCAGTGGCTGTGGCTGCTCTGCTTCTTTGATCTTTCAGCTTTCACCCCAATATCTGGCTCGGGTTTTTTATTACAAAACCATTTAGCAATTCGTGAGACCATTTTAAGATAAGTGTTACACACCAGGTCTCATTACGGATGGTTGTGAGCCACTATGTGGTTGCTGGGAATTGAACTCAGGAATTGAACTCAAGACCTCTGGAAGAGCAGCCAGTGTGCTTAATTGCTGAGCCTTCTCTCCAACCCGCAATTACATTTCTATAAGAGAATCATTCTCTAAGACATTTCACTTCAACTGAAAACGTCATTTTGTTTGTTTGTTTGTTTGTTTTTGAAGACAGGGTTTCTCTGTGTAACAGCCCTAGCTGTCCTGGAACTAACTCTATAGTCCAGGCAGGCCACGAACTCTCAGAGATCCACCTGCCTCTGCCTCCCGAATGCTAAGATTAAAGACCTGTGTCAATTTCATTACAGGACATTAAAATTTACTGAATGAAAGCTGGGAATGGTGGGGGAGCACTAAGTAAACTGAGGCAGGAGGATAGACAGTTGGAGGCCATCCTGGGCAATACCTCCTCTCAAAACACAGAAGAAAAAACAAACAAAAAAAACCCCAAACAACTAAATGTCAGCTTCTGGTGACATGTTGCATTTTGGGTAGCATTACTTCTAATTACTATTTACCTACAAATGATTATTCTTTTTTAGTGCTAGTGATCAAACCCTGTCCTTCATGCATGCTAAACTACCATGCTTAGCAAGCCTCATATGAAGGATCTCCAAAAGTAGGCCATATTTATTTCAATTACAGTTACATTAAGTCATATTGTGTTTAAACCTATGTCAGATTCAGTCTATCATAATCAGGTAGCTGTCTCAATAATTTCTTTGAAAAAGGACACCTGCTGTATAAGGAAGATGCTATACTACGTTTTCAGACTATATTACATGATAATAAGAATCTTAAATTTTGAGTCAATAAACCAGAATTAGCTACAGCTGTCACCACCATAAAATGACAGAATCTGTGTTACTATGTTCTAATTCTATGTTAACTGTAGCAATTGCTAATTTTCTCAATGAATATACAGCTTCTTTCCTGTCTATGCTAACCTATAAATACGTACTGCAAATATATACTTAACCTCTGCAATACAGATGTTCTACCTGTATTCTATTTCCAGTGAGAACCCAACTATTTTTCATATTTTAATTACATCCCCAAGTATTTTCAGTGGTAACTCTTTTTAAGAGGTAACTCTAGAAGACAATAATTAATGCGCATGTCGCTCAGTTAGTGGCAGAAATATAACTGTATGTTGGTGGCTAAGAAGTCTCATAATTACAGTATTAAATACCTACTGACTCAGACCAATGAGCTCTCCAGGTGCCACTAGCTAATACAAGTTTGTCAGGATTTGAAGTCAGAGCAAGTCCTGAATCCACTCAACGACTGTATTGGATTATCAACACATAAACAAAGAGATCTGATGTGAAGGTTCTTTGCCTCAAAGCAATGTAGTGAAAACAAAGTATCATGATTTGGGAAGAAAAAAATCCTTTCCCTTCTTTAAATTGACTACTAAAGAATACTGCTCTTACAAAAATATTCGAGGTCAGCAATGACCTTCCTTATGCATGATGAGGTTTTTCAACCCTGTCAAGTATTCAAACTGAATCATACAATGAATGAGCCGATGGGAGAATTGGGGACAAAAGAGATCTCCTGTGTCTTTTGGGAGAGATCGTGTTTGCATCACGTGTCCAAGGACCAATCAAGCTGGAACACAAAAATGATGCAGCCCAAAGAGGGCTTCGCACTTGGACCCGGCCCACAACGATCCACAGTATCCGTTGTGCTCAGGATCCGTGAGTCCAACGTTCAACATCCCCAGCCCAGAACATCACAAACTCCAGGGGCCCCAGATCTTAGTCCCAATCTCCCCACGAGTCCCAGGAAACCTAACACTCAAAGTTCACAATCTCCGCAGGGCAATTCCCTCCTGAACCCGGGCTAGCGACCGCGCCCTCGGGCCCTCTACTCACAGGCTGGAGGTGTCGGGGGGCAGCGGGCCTGACAGTGCCCTCCAGCTGGGCGCGGGCAGCTTCCTGCGACTGCAGTCCAGCAGAGGAAGGCGGCAGGCGCAGGGCGCCGGGCACAGGCCGGCCCGGGCGGCGGGCAGCAGCAGCAGCGCCTGCGCAAGGACGAGCAGCCGCGCGAGGGGTCCCGACCCACAGCCCAGGCGCCGCTGCTCGCAGACGCCGCGGGGTGCGGCCGCCATCTTCCCGCGGCCGGGACCCGCTCGAGGACCGAGGCTGGCTCAGAGAGGCGGCTGAGGACAGATGCCCGGAGGCCAAGCCGCCACCCAGAGCCCCGGCCGTCACCTGTCCCCTCTCAAGGCAAGCGAAAGGTGGCAACGACGCGACCGCGGGGGAGGGGGCGGCAGTGGGGGGCGTACAGCTGAAGCCCTGACAGACACCGCTCGCCCGCCCCGCCCCACGACGCAACGTCCTCACGCTCAGAAGCCAGCCAATCGGAGCCGCAGGACGAGGTTGCGTCGGAAATGGAGTCCAGATGGGGCGAGGCCTGAGATGGCCCCGCCCCCTGAGAAGGCGGGCATTATGTGGCCCGTCCCCCTCCTCCGTGCTTCCGCTGCAGTTCCGCCGCTATTCCTCCGCTTGGGGGCGCACTGGGTCCTTAAAATAGAGCGGCGTCCGCTCCGCCGAGTCTTCACTGCGGTTGATCTGCTGTAGTAGAGGAAAAGGACCTATTCTGTAGGCTGCAGCAGAAGGGAATGGCAGAAGGGCTGCCTTCCACGCCGCAGCCACGAATGAGTGCGGGATCCAAACCTAGCTTCGACCACCAGGGTGGCCTCTGCGGCGTGTCCTACCTTGAAAGAGGGCGACAGCTGGTACTCCCGGAGCGCAGCATGCTGTCTCTGTGTCGGGGGAGACCTCATGGTCCTGGAGCAGAGGCGCTGTTTAGTCATCTGTACACCTCCAGCTTCTATTGTAGCCTGGAGTTCAGTAAATGTCTCTAAGGCAAATTCTCCCCTCGGTTTGGGAGAATATTGTTCATCTTCAGAAAAACAAGTGGGGCAAATAGATAAAAGAAAGGGTTGTTTTGGGGGAGTGGGTTTTCAGGATTCTGTTCGTGGTTTTTGAGCAATCAACAAAGTCGAAGGCTGGAAGGAAATTATCCTGAAGCAAAAGCTGTGAAGACTTGCTGGGAACAGTGGGGTCAATCTACCCTTGTGCTCTCTCAGCCGTTTGTTACCTACAAAGTGAATAAGGCTGAAAATATTAGTAATGGCTCACTGACGTGTATACTTCTCAAAGACTGCTTGCAAGCCAGGTATGGACCTGCATGCCTGGAACTTCCAGCACTTGAGGTTGAAGCCAGAGGAGCCCAAGTCCAGTTCAGCCTCATCTACATAGTTGCACTTTGTTTAGAAGAGGAGAAAAGAAAAACAGGGTGGGTGAGATAGCTCAGCAATAACAGCCTTGCCACCAAGCATGTCAACTTGAGTTGGATCTCCAGACCGCACAAGATGGAAGGAGACAACTGACTCCTGCAAGTCAGTGTCGTCTGACCTCCACATGCATGCTGTGGCACTGGAGCACATGCGCACACACAAAAGCAAAACATCCACGGCTAGTTAAAAACACTGAAGCAACACCTAGCCAGTGCTCCTGCTCAGAAAATCAGATTTTATATATTTAGAGGCACTGAGACCCAAACCCAGAACCTCATGCCCTTTAGTCAAGTGCCCTACCACGGAACTACATCCCAGTCCTAAAATCTTGCTTTAAATGCTAAAATAATAGAGTGAATTTTCCTCTTAGCCTCCTTCCCTTGGCTATTGAATAGGCTCACTAACCAGATCTTCCTCTGCCTCCTGAGTACTGGGATTAAAAGGCATGAGCCCACCTCACAGGGCTGGCATTTTTTTTTTTTTACTAGATTTATTAATTTTAGGTATGGTTTGCCTGCATGTATGTCTGTGCACCATGGATGCTTGGTGCCTACAGAGATCAGAAAAGGGTGTTCAGATGCCCTGAAACTGTAGTTAGGGACAGTTGTTAGCCACTATATGAGTACTGAGAGCTGAACCAGGTCCTCTGCAAGAGCAGCAAGTACTCTTAACCACTGAGCCACCTCTCCAGCCCTGGCATTTATGCTTTCCTAAGATTATTTGCAAGCCAAGTTTTGATTTCAAAGCTTCCCTCTGAAATTGTGTCAATGGCCCAAGGGAAATTTGTGATATCAAACCAGAGTCCTCCCCAAGTGAACGGTGCAGATAAACCTCAGTTTTAAACGGCACCTTTATATATAATTCCTCCTGCACATTATTTTTACCACAGTGATATATAGCTTTATATTCCCTGTACATAGGAAAAGGGTGTGGTCCTGGAGAATTGAACTCATGCTGTACCCCTGAGCTGCTATTCCAATCAGCCTCTGTTCCCCATATTGACTAGCACAGTAGCCCTGACACATAGTGACAATAAATGCTTGATGAATTAATAGACAGGATTATCTTATATACTACATGATTAAACTAACAAAATTTTCTCCTTTCAAAGTTTTGTTTTGTTTTTTTTATTAAGAGGACCAAGGGAGACGCTGAGCAGGTAAAGGCACTTGCCTCCAAGCTTGACCCGATTTTGATTGAGACCCTCATAATAGAGAGAACTAACTCCTGAAGGTTCCCTTCTGACCTTTACACCCATAGACATGTGGACCCACACACATACACACGGTAAGTAAATAAATAAATGGGATTTTTATTTTAATGTATGGGGCTGGAGAGATGGCTCAGTGGTTAAGAGTACTGGTTGCTCTTCCAGAGGACCCAGGTTTGTTTCCCAGCAGGCACATGATGGCTCAAACCCATCTGTAGCTCCAGTTCCAGGGGATCAATGCCCTCTTCTGGCCTCCGAGGGCATCAGGAACACATGTGGTACACAAACATGCATGTAGGCAAAACATTCATACACATAAAATAAAAATAATTATTTTTAAAAATACATTTTTTTTAGACAAAATTTCTTTTAACTAGTCCTGGCTGTCCTGGAACTGACTATGTAGACCAAGCTGGCCTTGAACTCATAGAGATGTGCCCAGCCTCCCCAGTGCTGGAATTAAATGGGTGTACCACCATAGCCGGCAGAAGATGTATTTTTAAGTTATATTTATTTTGACTTCCCCTGAGACCCTACCCTCTCCATCCCTTCACCTCCACCTTTTTTGTTGTTGTTCTTTGTATTTTGTTTTGTTTTGACACAGGGTCTCATTATGTAGACCAGGCTGTCCTTGGAACTCACAGAGATCCCCCTGCCTCTGCTTCCCAAGTGCTGGGGTCAAAGGCATGCACCACTATGCCTAGCTTGATTTTTTTGGATTTTTGAGACAGAGTCTCACGATGTAGCCCAGGCTGGCTGTGAATTTGCTATGTAGTCTAAACTGGCTTCAAACTTCAAATCCTCCATCCTCCTGCCTCAGCCTTCTGAATGCTGGAATCATAGTGTCCACCAGCACACCCTGCTCCACTGCTTCTTTGTGGAGCCCTCTGCCCAGCACTGGCACCTCCTCTCCTGCAGTCTGTCACCGGATGACTTTGACAAACACATTGATGGAGGTGTGCTAGTGTCTCTCAGGCTGTCACCGGATGACTTTGACAAACACATTGATGGAGGTGTGCTAGTGTCTCTCAGGCTGTCACCGGATGACTTTGACAAACACATTGATGGAGGTGTGCTAGTGTCTCTCCACATAAGAATATTTGACATTGTCGATGCCTTTTATTATTTGTGTTTTTCTCAATATTTGCTGATGGGAAAAATAGGGAAAATGTTTACATTAACGCCCCTTTTCACCTATACTAACAACAACCACATTCTTTGTCTAACGTTTATCCACCATCAGCACCCAGCCTAGCTATCTCCACATTTCCTGTATCTTCTCACCACTTTGTCCATATTCCCGTGACAGAAATGTGTTTACTTTTCATAAACGGGGCCGTGAACATCACTGTTTATTTCTGTATGGTGATCTTGCTGGTTCCCTGCCCACTAACCCTCACTGGGCACTTCTCACTTGCTTCCAGTTTCTCTCTGGAGATTTCTCTGACTTTTCAAGGCATCTGGTTTCCACCTCTGTTCTACAATAGTCACAGCACACACATGTGCACGTGTGCGCACACACACACACACAAACACACCACTTCCATGTCATGCATTTGGGTTGAAATTAACTTTCTGGCTATCCTCATTGCTTGTCTACTGAATAAGACTTTTAGCAAGCTGTCTCCTTCAGCTCCTTCTCCCTCCTCCTCTTTCCAGTAAAGCCAAGAATGAACATGAGAATTAACAGCAACTACTACTTATTATTATTGAAGCAAAATGTGAAGCCGGAAAACTGGTACAGATATTGGACTTCATCAAAATGTAAAACTTTGCAGATAGGAGAGATGGTTCAGTGGCTAAAAGAACATGCTGTTCTTGCAGAGGAGCACGGTGCAGTTCCTAGCACAGACATTGGACAGTTTGAAACCCAGCTCTAGGGACTCCAATGCCCTCTTCTGGCCAGGGGCTTCTAGAAAAGGAACAAGAGCTAAGCCATCTCTCCTACCCCTGATTTTTTTTTTTCCCAATGTGTATGAGTGTTTTGCCAGCATGCATGTCTGTGTGCCACATGCACAAAGTGCCTGAGAAGGCGGGAAAAGGGCATGGAATTCCCTGAGACTAGAGTCACAGAAGGTTGTGAGCTACAGTGTGGATGCTGGGGACCGAACCTGGGTCTTTCGAAAGAGCAGCCAGTGCTCTTAACTACTGAGCCCTCTCTCCACCCCCTCGACCATGATTCTATTTTATTTTTACCTTGGGGTCTCACTATGTGGTCTAAAGAGGCCTTGAACTCAAGACCATCCAGTCTCAGCCTCCAGAGTGCTTGACTTACAGACATACACCATCGTGCCTGGCAAATTTATTTTAAAATTATGGTCAAATTTCTTATTCTTTTATGGTTAATAACTCTTTTTACATCTAAAATCATCTATTTCTACTCCAAAGTGAAAAAATATTCTCTGATGATTCTCTTCCGAAGTATTTATAGCTATGCATATGTTTTTTGGTATGGAATTTATTTAAATTTAAAATTTTACTTGAGAGGCAGAGGCAGGCAGATCTCTGTGAGCTCAAGGCCAGCCTGGTCTACAGAGCCAGTTCTAGGACAGCCAGGGCTACTCAAACCCTGTCTCTAAAAACCAAAAAACAGTTGTTTAATTTATTTATTTTTATGTGTATGGATGTTTTGCCTGCATATATGTCTGTGCACCATGTACATGTAGTGCCCACGGAGGCCAGAAGAGAGCATCGAATTCCCAGGACTGGAGTCATAGACCATTTACTGTAAACCACTTTGTGGGTGCTAGCAATTGAACCTGAATCCTCTGGAAGAGCACCCAATGCTCTTAACCAATAAGCCATTTCTGCAAGCACTGATGTGTGTGTGTGTGTGTGTGTGTGTGTGTGTGTGTGTGTGTGTGTGTGTACATGATATGCAGTGGTGGGTGTGTATGCCATGATTTAGCATAGAGGTCAGAGGACATCCTTGTGGAGTGGGTTCCTTCCCTTCACCTTTATGTGGGGCCTAGGGATTGAACTCAGGTTATCAGCTTGGAGCAACAAGTGTCTATCTTATGGACCATCTCCCTCCCTTGTATTGATTTTTGCCTATGATTAAGAAAAAAATCCAAGTATCACATGTCTTTGATCCCAGCACTCAGGAGGCAGAGGCAGGCAGGTCCCTATGAGTTTGTGGCCAGCCTGGTCTACATAGTGAGTGCCAAGATAGCCAGGGCTATACAGAGAAACCCTGTCTCACTTCCCCCTCAGCCCCCTCCCTCCCCGCCATACACACACAAAATAAAATAACTTAAAAAGAAAGAAAGAAAGAATACCCAACTTCTTTTTTTCTCTCATGTGACAATCCAGTGAGCTCAGCTTCATTCAGTGAAAAATCTGTCCTTTCAATCACTGCTCTGAAGTTCTATGTCATAAATCAAATATCTAATTAAGTATCTGATAGGTATCAAAAGTCAATTTAACTTTCCCTGGGGCAGTACTATATTTTTAAACTACAGTAGCCATCAAGTATATCTTGATAGCTGGCCCAACAAGTTTGTCCACATTTCTTTACCACAACTGTATCTTTGATGCTATTTTTACTTTGCAATATCATTCATATTGGGTTTTTTTTTAATCAGGATTGCCCTAAATCCATAAATCAACCTGGGAGAACTTGATGTCTTTATAGAAAGGAATTTTTCAGTCTAAGAATATAATTCAGCTCCCCCTGTCCAGCTGATTTTTAAATTTGTATTATATTTATTAGCTGGGTGGTGGTGGCACACATCTTTGATCTCTGGAGGCAGAGGCAGGTGGTTCTCTGAGTTCCAAAC